AATTCCTAACATATTAATTTGTTAAAAAATTAATTCAATGTCTTTTTACATTAGTAAATAGAACTAAAAATTTTGTTTGTGAGGTTCAATAAATGTTGACACCCCCCGAGAAATCACCCAAAATACGCCACTGATTATAAGACTTTAGAGAATTTCAGTGCAAGGATTGTGTTGTYTTTCAGACCCAAGTGCAACATTAATAAAACGAATCTATGTAACATAGTTTTTTATGATTTTTGACAAATTTTAGAGAGCAATTACCTATTATAAATTCTATAATTGATAAAATATTTTTTAGAATTTGACTTATTCGTTTTATATTTTATTACTATTTTACTTAACCTATATTCAACTTTAAAAATAAAAATAACGTTTTGTGAATTTAAATGGACGTTATACAAATTATGAAAAATCGATATGTCATACGCTCAAAAATTGTATTCTTTATAATTTTTGTAATGGGTGATTTTACTCTAAGTCAACTCAAAAACGTTTTGTCGATATTGCTTGTGGGTTAGAGAGAAAAACAAACGGTATATTGACATCATCTTAATTGCACTTCAAATATTGCATACTTTTTTTCTTTATATTGGTTGCTATGATTTAAAGGGAATACATTTAACCTATTGAYCCATGTCATACACTATCTAGTATCTAGTAGGTATCTACCATTAAATAAATATATACATGAGTTATACTTAAAATTACTTAATGTTAACGGAATAAAATATGCATTTATCAATATAATGGTATTTTAAGATATTCAGATACCTACGACTAGAAAAATATTTTTTTGTTTACTATAGGTAATATTAATATGTTCATCGAAAAATATCAATTTTTATTTGTAGAGTTTTTCAAAACCAAAAACTACTGAAATAGTATGATATAATATTTATAGTTCCAGTACAAGTGCCGAACGCCGAATGTGCATGCATTGTGTAGACAAATGGAAAATGTTTTTTAAACAAAACAAAAAACTTTTATACTTTAATAAGACCCATGTCACGTTCTATAGCAAACAAATTGTCAAGGACACTGCGTAATGGATAAATGACAAGTGGTTAGAACTAGAATACGTCGGACTTGCCGTTCAAGGAAGTCTGTTGCGAAAGGTTTGCATATGGTGTAAGTCTGGCCGTTTAGAATGTTATATAGATTTAAATAAACAATACACATTTATATCACCTGCCTTCGATGAAGGGTTCCGAGTTTATATTTGTTTTTAATTCGTATGTTTACCTCCCTTTCGGTTAAAATAAACCACTATGTACATTACAAAAGTGTCAATGTAGCCGTTATTGAGTTTAAGCCATTTTTTAGGTGATCAACTAATAAAATTTGCTGAAAGTAGAATCTATTTAATTGTCATTTATAAATATCACTCTTGAAGAAAAACGTGACAAATATTCATAGTGGACGTTTTTTGAAAATATATTTTTGTTTTTCGATTCTGCGAGTCATTTAGGTACAATATATTAGTAATTAGGGCTAGGATTTATATGCAATAAAAAATTGTAAAATATG